CACACAGGCCGCTCTTCAATGCTACAAGCTTGTGCTATAGTCAGTCTGTGGAGGCATGAAAAGCCATCAAAGCAGTTGTGCACTTTCTAAGGAAGAAACTTCAGTGAATTAAAGATATGATTCAGTGTAAGAATGATTCATTCACATAAAAGATTCATTCAGCACACAGATTCATTCATGAACCACTAACATAGAGCAGCTCCTAATAGTGATTCTGACCTTAACAGACAGCCATACACACACAGATGAGGACTGCACATACAAAACTGTAAATGAGGATGATAATGGTAAAAGAGAAGCATATAATACGTAACAGAGCTCATGCTGCTCTAATTGGCTTATTGATAACATCAGGTGTTGTTTACATTCAAATGAATCGCAACATTCTATGGCAGTACAGCAGCTTGAGCTGATATTTGAAAATCAACAACTGTTTTTGAAGCCTTGAATATGATCAAGCTCTGCTACAAGCTCTTCACGACTCTACAATTTGGTGAGTGTCAGTAATTTGTTGGGTTTGAGAAGTTTTTCTTGATTCATTAGCATGGAGCAGCATCGCATGAGAAGACCCAGGGCTCTTCCCACTCACCTGAGGGGATTCGTAGTGGAGGGTGTCTCTTCCATTCAAGACCCATGTGAGCTTTCACAGCTGGCAGCTATAATCAGGTTGGACCACACTTACAGCTGCATCTCTGCAAAAGCTCAATGGTCTAGAAGAGTGCTACCTAAAGAACGCTGCTGTCCTTCCCGACATCTGTCCAGCAGCATCAATCTCCATTCACGGCTGCAGCATCCAGGGCTACCAGGACATTTACCACTCTGTGGCTGAGCCTATGATGAAGACACGCTGTGGTGGACGCTGTCCCTACAGCCTTAAGCTGGGAGTGAAGATTAAGCAGCATCTATGGGAGACACTCAGCTGCCCCTCACTAGTGGAGATAGAGCAGCCTGATGGACGCATCCTGATCACCATTAGCTTCTCCACGAACAACAGAAGCTTCGCCCCTCGAATTCACGTGGACATCAGCGAAGAGCCCCTGCCTGAAAGAAGCCCAGACATGTGATCAGAGTCATCAGTGTCACATGGAGCCTGAAGTATATAAATACTGTATATACTTTATATAGTAGTAAGTTTATAGTTTGTAAAGTAAGTTTTATTTGTAGAGTAAGTTTTTGTTTGTAGAGTAAGTTTCATTTATTAAGTTTAAATTTATAGAAGTTTTCAGCACATGTTCTGATTGGTTTTCAGCACTTTGCTACGTGGTTGTCAGGATGTTTTGAGTGGTCTCCTGTGCGTTCACATGGTTTTGCCAAGGTTTTCTGTGTGGCTGTTAGGTTGATTTACGGTTGCTGGCCTCCTCTGAGTGTTTTTCATGCATTGCTAGTTATGTGTTATGCGTTGTTGTTAGTTATGAGTGGTTGGTTTTAACAGTTCGGTTAGGGTCCCTCACACGGTTTGCAGCTTGACGTGCTGTGAGGGCTTGTGTGCATCAGTGATGCTGAGAGCTACGCCACTGGTACTTCAACTACTGGTAGGGTCACCCATAGTGAACAGGTCTCAGCTGAGATGCCAGACGAAGACAAACCACCTGAATCTGGACAGCAGCAGATTGGTCTGATGTTCCTGGCAGAAGATCATAGTCTTATGTATACGGGTAAGTTGGATAGATATACAGTGTATAATAGTTGTCAATTTAAGTTAGCTATTCCTTTTGGGGTGAAATTGAGGATTATGAAATCTGTAAAAGTTTGGTTTCAATTTATAAATGTGACCCTGGACCACAAAACCAGTCATAAGGGTCATTTTGTTTTTTATAAATCGCCTTTAAAGTTGTCCAAATTAAGTTCTTAGCAATGCATATTACTAATCAAAATTTATGTTTTGATATATTTACAGTAGGAAATTTACAAAATGTCTTCATTAAACATGACCTTTACTTAATATCCTAATGATTTTTGGCATAAAAGAAAAATCAATAATTCTGACCCATACAATTAATTTTTGGCTATTGCTAGAAATACAGTATACCTGTGCTACTTAAGACTGGTTTTGTGATCCAGGGTCACAAATAGTCGATTAAAATAATTAACCACAATAAATTGCATGATTTTTAAGAGTAAATCAACATTAATAATTTTAAAATAATTGTAATTAGTTTTAAAAGTACTGAAATCTACAGTTGTGGTCAAAATTTTACATACACTTTGCAGTATACAAAATGTTAATGACCAAAATAAGAGGGATCATACAAAATGCAATGTTTTTTTTGTTTTTTTTAGAACTGACCCGAATAAGATATTTACAGTACATATAGTCCACAAGAGAAAATAATAGTTGAAAAAATGGCCAGTTCAAAAGTTTAGATATGCTTGATTCTTAATATTGTGTTGTTACCTGGATGATCCACAGCTTTTTTTGTGTGTGTGTGTGTGTGATACAGTAGCTGTTCATGAGTCCTATGATTTTGAGAAATCTTTTCACACTGAGGACAACTGAGGGACTCATACACAACTATTACAAAAGATTCAAACAGTCACTGATGCTCCAAAAGGAAAAACGACCACAACTGAATATACTTCTGATGTTCTTGACAAAATGCTTTTCAAGGAAAGAACAAAATAAACAAAATCTGTAACAATATTTTATTAACATTTTGCTAACAAAGCCTTACTAAAAGTAAAATAAAAAATAAATGTAAAACCCTAAAACTAAACTAAAACGGAACTAAACATGTAAAGCATAAAAACTACACATTTAGGTGTTACCATGCCAATAAAGCCGCTTATTTTATACACTCAATTATTTTAAGTATATCAACTGTATATTAATTAAATGTACTAAATATGACCGTTTTTAAATGTAGGCCAAAGTTATAATAATCGTTTTAATTAACCTTTGTTAAAACAGTCTGTAGGTGTCAGTCTTGAGTAGCCCATAATAACATGGTATCAATCATACACAAAAACACTGCGCTCCTGTAATATTAGTTTCTTCACTGTCTAGCTATATATAATAGTACAATTTACCTCTGCATAATTGTAAATTGTACTATTATATATTTACAGTATGCTGTCCTTACCGTGAATATACATGGAAATATTTGTAGGCATTATTAAATTAAATTAAAATAAATTAAATTAATGCATTTAGCAGACGCTTTTATCCAAAGCAACTTACAGTGCATTCAGGCTATACATTTTTTATCAGTATGTGTGCTGGGAATTAAACCCATGACCTTTGCACTGCAAATGCAATGCTCTACCACTGAGCCACAGGAACATTATTATTCATGGATATGGTGATCTGTACATGTAACTAGTCATAAGGCTAAAATTGACATTTCCTGTAAACTTATCCCTCAATTCTGATTGGTTGATTGGAATGTTGTTCCAGGATCAACATGAATGCTGATCCAGGAACATGTTGCACTTGATGAAATCACGTTCACAAATCCATCATTGGAAATTAATCAACCACATTGGTTTATACATTTTTACTCCTTTTCTGGAAACATTGTCAGTGCTTTAATGATATTTTGCATTGTGTTTTTCCCTAATCACATTTTTAAATGTTTAATTATCATCATGAGTTTTATTTTTCCTCTCCTCTTCATTATTGTTGATGAAATAAAAAAAAATAAAATAAAAAACTGACAGCAAAAAAACGGAAGCTCCGGAAGTATTTTTCAAATCGAAAAAAATAAAATAAAATTCTTATGTAAACAGTTATAAACACTGAAACAAACCAAACAGCTACGAGGTGACTAAAAATATTATACACTTTGATTTAAAGCAAATAAAAAACCTATAAGATGTGTACTTAATGGCTTTAATGATGGAAGACACTACAATCCCATGAAGCATTGTGAATGGTATATAATATGTAATTGCAGTTGTAAACAAAATAATCTGTGTTGGTTTCTAGGCTACTGTCCAGGACCTATTTATGATTCTCGTCGCTTTAGATAAATGTCTCTGCAAAATAAATACATGTAAATGTTCCAGGGGTCCTAATCAGGGACAACCTTGAAAAACACAAAACCCAATTAGTAAGATCAGCACATGATTCATAGTTATACTTTGTTTTATTTTTTTCCAAAGTAAATCATGCATTGTGACTTAGCAGTGACTCACCTCCTGGGATTGATCTGCACCAAGTCTAAAGTGACAGCAGACAATGTCAACAAAATAACCAATAAATCTGTGGAACAGACCTGTGTCAAGGATCACAGGACAAGAAAAACCTTTGAAGCTACACCTGCTGCTATCCATGCTCACAAAAGTCATTGCATGCCAACAACACTCTAATAATGCGTTTTATGAACTTGGTATGTTTAATAATATTGAAAATTACGACCATAAACAATATAAACATATACTGTAATTGATTTAGTCTTTTATTTACTTTGTATAGCCTGTGAAAGTTACCTGAAGTAGAAAAGATTCCTCCAATGATGCCACACAGTCTCACAAGGAAAACAGAGAAAGGCATATGCTCTTCTGTCACCCTCACCATTAATGGACTCAGTTTATATTTAATAAAGATCCCAGATACACCATGACTGCCTTTCTTATTGCTTACAACACGCTCCTATATGACAGGCAACATGACCATCAGAAACACACACTTTCACACACATGTACAAATGCATGCACAAATACCCTAGAACCTACCTGTTCTGTAACAGAAAACTGGTGCATGTTCACTGAAACACCTGATGTGTGCAGCTTGGTGGGCACAACTGTGATAAAATACTGAAACAGCATATTTTCTTAAAAAAAAAAAAACAGATTAAAAACAGTCTTACAATCAATGTGTTGGCAAGTATATTCTCTACTTATTCTACTTTTAAATGTAGGCCTATCTGCATATTTGCATACATGAAATCAATCTAATATAGACTCTGACTGCATATTGTGCTGTGGGTTATGTTGGACAAACATTGAAATATATAACAAAAAAGACCTACGCTCTAATGTAATTTTTTCTGTGCCATCAAGGGGATTGATGTGTCCAGGAACATCGTTTCCAAAAGATAAATAATCTATTCGATGTGAGAAGTTAAGAGCAGCTGGAAAAATGAGAAAGACAACTAAATATAAGGATGTGCATTAGAAAACAATAGAAACAATAGAAAAGAACATAATTTAAATGTGAATTATAACATTATAAAAAAAAAAAAACTAATTGCAAAGTGAGAGTCCTCCATCTAGAGGATATCTAAAGAATTCCATGACAAATTAAGGTAATGAAATATGTCTTTAAAAGTAAAAGTGTGTAATTTAATTACAATCTTCCAATGATATTTTGATGAATCTAAAAACAATTACCTTACTTAATAACTGAGTAAAACTTACCTTCATTTTTGATTAATGAAGCAAAATGGGCATGACCTCTGATAGTATCAATTGGTCTATGAGCACAGAATCAACACGTAATTTCTTGGGAGACATCTTTATAACGGCTAAAGTACAGCTGTATTTCTGTTGCTAAAAATGCGTATACTTACTTGCCCAATATGATATGGAAATTTCCCGCCACTTTATTGACATAGATTTTTCCATGTATCCTACATGCATTCTGGGAATTGGATGTAGAATCATTTCTGTGCAAAGAAAAAAAGCAAAAACAGTTCAGTTAATTATCCATTGCATGATTAACCATTCAATTAATTGTTAGAAACGGAAAAGCTTTAGCTCTATCATGTTTGATCAAATCCGTAATAATCACTGTACATGTTGGATTAAATATTATAATAATTATTTAAACAGATGTACTGTGGAACTGGGTCAGAAAAGTATCCTTTCAGTGCTGATTTAAAGAGTACATCTTGAAGTGAATGTTCTTCCCTCAGTCTGTTTTGAATCTGATGTAATATCCTTAAAAACAAGAATCAGAGATGAAGACTTACTATAATTGCATATACATTGTCTATTTTATGATATCATAATTGTGTATTACTACAATATCAATGATTAATAACTGAAAAAGATGTTATACATACTGATACCACATTTTTTTCTTTTGAGAGGGCTCAAAGCTTACCTGAAAAAAAAAAGAAAACAGTTGCTATGGGTTCTGGTAAGTTGTCTAGTGAAATATGAAATGCAGCAGATGGCTTGAAGTCACTTACAGCATCATATTTAAGTTCCTTTGATGCAATGACAGCGCCAGCAACATCCAACACATCTGCACCCACTCCTATACAAAAAAATGGGCTTAAAACCTTTTACATGGGATGCCTTGATTCAGAATAATTAATACACATTGGCATAAAACTATTTGAAAAAAAAAAATACAATGTATAACAGATGTAGGCTACTTACTTGAACATTTCATTGCAACCGTGATGTCAATTTTTATCTTCAATTTACTGTCAAAGACCAAAAAAATAAAAAATAAATCAGGTCAGGTCTTTCAAATTCTCTAAAAAAACGTGTTTGACAAAATCTCAAGATGCAAATGTAAGCATGACAAATACTGTATACACACACCTAGTAAAATCTGTGTCTACTTCATATTCATATTTCATCCATGAGTCCTGGTATACAAAAAACTCGGAGATGGTCAGAAGTGCCATGAGGATGAATACAATCAGTGACACTAGGAAGAGAACCAAAAGTCTTAATCAATAACATGCACTGTAGCTAACATCTGTAATATTCAGACAGCAAATATAAAAATTCACCTGTGCCTCCAAAAGCTGATGTTTCAACATAGCTCTCTGGAACTTTAGGAAAGGCATCGAGCTCTTTCACTAAGTTGATAGTACTTCTTCTTCTCAGCTTGTTCATTGTTTAATGGATATCTTTATATTTATCTCAATCCTGTTCGTGCAAAAATAAGAACTCTGAATAAAGTCACATTTAATGGTCTGGCCATCTGTGTCACTTTAATGCAAGAAAAAAAATTGCTATTGATGAGATTTCCGGCTCAGTGCATGATTAAAATAACTCATTTTGAGAAAACTGACTTTATAGTCTAATTGCACTCTATAGATAGAATTAGATAAAATAAAATCAAATGTGTACAGTATTTTGGATGTTTCCTTCCACTAGTCTGAATGTTTTTTTCCTGTAATGTCTTGCCTAAATTATTAGCTGAGTGAGGTAACATCTGTGTTTGATTCCAAACCACTGCAAATTGGTAAATATTTAAAACTTTAGTTATATTAATGAAAACACTTACAGTGCTTGTTTTTGACATAACAGCTAAACACAAGCTAAATGCTAAATAAGATAATTCTTCCTGTTCACCCAACTGTAGTAATTGTGCTATTAAAGTTAATTTCTGCACAATGAACTCTAAAAAGCAAATATGACACTAAGCCACAAGAAGACTTGTGCATATGTGGACTAAATCTTTGTCTTACCTCTTTCTAAACACCTTTAAGACGAACGTTTGAACACTTCTCAATGGGACCGGCTATTCAAATGCACTGTTTTGCAACCACTGCCACGTTGTGTGACAGCTGGTTTTTCCAGTTAAACAAAACCCAGCACAAGTCTGCTTTTTTGTGGAAACCATGTTGATTTTTTTTCAAGAATCTTCAGATGCTTCGTCCAGAACTCACTGGAAACTCAGTGGCAATTTCAGTCTGAAATAAGGCTTCAATCAAAATAAATACATAAAGAAATGTACATATGTTTACCTATATAAAGAAATTTGTTAAGTTTAGAGGACACTGTTCACAAATTTTGACAGGATTAAGAAGCTGAAAGTGAAAGTATGCCTAGTTGTACTAATTGCTTTGGTGTAACTCAATAGCACTTAATATCAAGAGAAACAAATAGTATTACAATAATTTAAAACAAATAAAAAAAAAATAATTATTGCATTTACAAATGTAGGTGGTAAAAAAAACATTTTTGTGCAGTTCAAATTTGAATTGTATCAATATATTGAAACATTAGTGTGTAAAGAACAGCAAAACAAACAAATACTCTTTATACTCGTACTCAGCCTTCAATCTTGTCCAATGTATTTTTATTTTTTAGTTTTATTTTAGAGATTTCTACAGTATATGCACATATTTTATCTCATATTTAGCCTACTTCTAGATTTACTTCAAATCTCATTTTAATATACCATATTGATGTTTTTTTAATATCGTAATTTATTACTGTAACTGTTTTAAATGGTCTCCTCTATATCTTACATTTACATTAAAACAATATCTGTGCAGGTTTTATACATTCATAAATAAAAATAATAATAAAAAAACGTTCCTTCGAGTATCTGACGAAATATATTGCACAGCATTGACTTTTTACGTAGCCTACTTGAAAAGCAGAAAAAAGCTCCCCAGTCACGCGAAGGCCTTAGGTCACAGCGAGGTCGTTCAATTGAGCATGCGCATTGAGTGAATTTTACCACGCGGTGACCTGCTCCTGTCAAAGCGAGGAACATCCTTCATCTCCGCAATAATATATTCGGTAAAGTTGTTACATACTTTCCATATTACGTATTTATCCATATTACGTATTAAGTCTTACCCAACAAATTTAACAGACTGAATGGTATAAGACACATGAATAATAAACGTGCTCTGTCGAGTAACCTAGCAAGCCACGTGCGATGTGACCAGCATTGGGTTCTCAGAATGAATAATGCCATACATATATTCATCTCACTGTATTTTGTAGTTAGTTCAGAGACTATAATGTAAATTTTATCTAGGAAAGTATTGTGAGACGCTTGCGTGCTGTATTCACATATTTGTACAAAAGCAGAAGTAACTTATTATGCCAGGACATAACGTTATATGACCCACCACGTGCGTTAAACATTGTGTCAGTGTTCTTGCTTGAGATAAAACGTTACTTACCCGAAGCTCTAATCAAACACACCTGAACCAGCTAATGAAGGTCTATGGGTTAGCTTGAAAATGACAGACAGGTGTAACCTTACTGTAGCAGAGTTTGAGCTAAACTCTGCAGGAAGTTGGCTCTCCAGGAACAGAATTGACTAGCCTTGCATAATCCCAAATACGCACACAATGACCAGTGATACTGATTAACAATGTATTTCACATCACAGTAAGACTGAGGAAGAATGAATCGAGCCTTTACTCAGACCCTGATGAGACCCAATCTCCCTTTGAGGAGACCTGCGACTGGACCGATTTCACTTAACGTTACTCCTAGAGGCCCAGCACCAACATTTCATGAGCTTGCTCAAGAAAATCTGCTAGCAAGTGACATTCTAGAAGATGGTATGGGTGAAATGTTTTTGAAAATTACACATGCATGTCATAAAAAAAAATGCACCTAGATAATGTTCTTTTCTACTTTAGGTCCTGTGGGTGATGCCGTTAGAAAGGAGAATGTGATTTCTGCAAAAAATAGTCGGAATGTACGTATGTGATAATGTCTGTATATCTACAGACATATATA